CCCAAATCACACTTCTCTAAACACAAGTCTAACATCCTTTTCATACCTTTGCTGATAGACTGGCATCTGTCTCTCTGCTGATGTAGTGGGAAAAAACCCCAACATTCAGCCATATACTCCAGCAAACTGGCTCTCCTTCTGATGCAACTTTAGCTGATTCAAAGCAGTTAACACATAAGAGCAGTGCAGGCAAGTCCGTAACCATCCCAAGGCCCTATTTTGAATGTGCCTGATCATGACCTTAAGCATGGTTAGATTTCCAACACAGAGAAGAGCTATCTGTAAATGCATTCTACACACACTAAGACAACTGAGAAACTATGCTCAGCTCATTACATACAACACAGACACTCCAACTAGTGGAAAAACACAGACTGCTAGAGACAAAAAAGTGCTATAGCCTAAAAGCAACAGTACCCACCCAGGATTATCACCACCTCCAAATTTATATGCACAGCACTGGAGAGAACCAACAGCACCTCAAATCCACTTCCCTGCAACAATATAACAGGAATTTTGCAAGTACTTTCCATAGAGGATCTTCTCTACCAAAATTAAGAGGGTCCAGACGCCTCAGATTTGCTCAGAATCCAAGAGCACACTTATAGCCTTCAATTAACAATAAGAATTAGATGTGAATGTAGCCCGGGAAGAGTTTCAAGAACTACACCAATGTAGAAAACCTTTCATAACACTAAATCTGTTTGCAGTACAGCATTCTCAAAGCACAATGAATGAGCAGTTACTGGAGTCCCCGTCCAACAGTAACAGAACAAAGCCTGGAGGCAGGATGAAATCCTATTTGCAACATGACTTTCAGAGTGCTCCCACATGTTCCGTATATCTAAAAAAGGATAAATCTGTGCTAGCACTCTACAAACACGCCAATTCTGCGCAAAATATAAATGCTCAAAGGCAAGAAGTTAAAAAACACACCAACTTAACACTTCTTCAGGAGAGTGATGTCTTTCACCCATCAAACTTTTATGATCTTTCTCTTTTACAGGAGAAACAGAGATCAAACATTCCCTAATCTGTATTTGCACTGGTCTCCTCTCTCCAAAAAAGAATGTTGAGTCTTACCTAAATAAAATAGCAAGTGTTAGAAGAAACAAAGCCTTCAAAATGGCTTCTTCTACATTGGCTTAAAATATTTTATTTTTACACAGATATCATAGAATCATAGAATCCACCTAGAGTACATCACACAGGAACTCATCCAGGTGGGTTTTGAATGTCTCCAGTGAAGGAGACTCCACAACCTCCCTGGGCAGTCTGTTCCAGTGCTCTGTCACTCTTACAGTAAAAAAATTTTTTCGGATATTCACCTTGAACCTCCTATGCTCCAATTTACACCCATTACCCCTTGTCCTATCACTGGTCATCACTGAGAAAAGCCTAACTCCATCCCCCTGACACTCACCCCTTACATATTTGTAAACATTGATGAGGTCACCCCTCAGTCTCCTTTTCTCCAAGCTAAAGAGACCCAGCTCCCTCAGCCTTTCCTCATAAGGGAGATGTTCCACTCCCCTAATCATCTTCGTAGCTCTGCGCTGGACTCTCTCGAGCAGTTCCCTGTCCTTTTTGAACTGAGGGGCCCAGAACTGGACACAATACTCCAGATGTGGCCTCACCAATGCAGAATAGAGGGGGAGGAGAACCTCTCTTGACCTACTAACCACACCCTTTCTAATACACCCCAGGATGCCATTGGCCTTCTTGGCCACAAGGGCACATTGCTGGCTCATGGTCATCCTCCTGTCTACCAGGACCCCCAGGTCTCTTTCACCTACACTACTCTCCAGCAGTTCAGCCCCCAACCTGTACTGGGACATGGTGTTGTTCTTCCCCAAATGTAAAACTCTGCACTTCCCCTTGTTGAATTTCATCATGTTTCTCCCCGCCCAACTCTCCAACCTATCTAAGTCTCTCTGAATGGCAGCACAGCCTTCTGTCAGCCACTCCTCCCAGCTTAGTGTCATCAGCAAACTTGCTGAGGGTACATTCTATACCCTCATCCAGGTCGTTGATGAAGATATTGAACAACACCGGTCCCAGTACCGACCCCTGAGGGACTCCACTAGTCACACACCTCCAACCAGATTCTGCCCCATTGACTACAACTCTCTGACTCCTTCCTTTCAACCAGTTCCTAATCCACCTCACTTCCTGATCACCAAACCCATACCTGATCAACTTTTCTACAAGGATGCTGTGGGAGACGGTGTCAAATGCTTTACTGAAATCAAGATAAATCACATCTACCGCTCTACCATCATCTATCCACCTAGTAATTTCCTCATAGAAGGCTATGAGGTTAGTCAAACATGATTTACCCTTGATAAAACCATGTTGACTGCTCTTGATGACCCCCATGTCCTTGATGTGCCTGGAGATAGTGACAAGAACAAGTTGTTCCATCACCTTTCCAGGGATGGAGGTGAGGCTGACCGGTCTATAGTTACCCGGGTCCTCCTTCTTGCCCTTCTTGTAGACTGGTGTGAATATCTTATATTTGTTAACAATTCTCAGGTCTTCACCTGCTTTACGGGTAAAATCTTAATCATCAATGAAAAAGTCAGACTCCAGACTTGCCACTTAGCTATGCCTTGACTTCCAAAGAATTACAGCTGAGATGTTTAGAGGGGCAAGGCAGACCCTAAAGAATGACAGACTAACTCTCTCAGGAACATACTAAACTGAGGTTGTACAGCTGTACCACAGGCAACAGACCACTCTGGAACTACCATTTGAACTTTAAGAAAATGAAGGTATTTTCAACCATGTGTCGGACTCAATGCATTCTTATTCATTAACAATTTTCCTCAAAACATCTCAGTTTGTCCTGCCCCATTGAGGAGCATCAGGTAGAAAAGTAACTCCATCAGATGTTTAAGGACATAGGCAGTAACATGCTGTTCCTGGAATGTATGAATTTCCGAATAATACCCAAGAACAGTGTGACAGGATATTCTCCTTCAATAGCACAAAGTTCTATTCTTTTTGTGAGCAAAATATAGTACCACCCACTAAACTGATGACTCTACGTCTGGTTTATCTTGCTTACTCACAATGGCCATACTTCCTGTCTGTATCTATTAAACTCCAGTTAACTCCCACTTTGCATCCCAACCCTAATAAAAATTTCCACTATTGCCCATCTCAGGGCACAGAATTTTGGAAGATATATTCTAATTGAATAAACTAAAATGCCTCTTAATGTCAAATCGTTCTGATTTTAAGTTTTCATCTAATTGCAAATTCTTCCTGTATTAACAGTCTATGATTCTGACCAAATCAAGAAACACATGTAAGTATGTGCTTACTTCAGAGTTTTTTCCAAGGAACAAATTACATTAATTCAAAGAATTACAACATGAAGGGGGCTAATAAGGGTAAACAAGTCCCATTGTGATTACAGGATGCAAAGGTTCATCCATCTCTATGCCTCTTCAGCACAGAATAGCCCAAACCCTTTTTTGGCTTTGGTACATGTGCCCAGAACAGATGAATGCTTCATTTAAATACAGGAAGCATTTGTCATTGTAAGTGCAAGTCCTGACTGAGAGTTTAAAAAGTCAGTCTTTAAACAGCAAGAAGCGATTCACACCCTTTGTGTTCAGTAAAGGACTGAAAAAGTTTGAGTAAAACTAAATGTCTAGAAATGGGAGCATTTTGCTTTTCAATCTGTGTGATGGCAAAATTATTGAAAAATAACAATCCTCAAGCTAACAGCTCATCTCCTACACACTTGTAAACCCTAATCTAAGTCTGAGCTTCCAGAAAGCAGTTACTCACTTTCAAAGCTCTGGCAAAACACCATCTCTCTTTAGTACTGGATTACAGTTCCTTCCTTCTAGCAGAAAACTAACACAAGACAAAGACAAATAAGCAAGCAACCATAACAAAACAGAAGCATTACACACAGTTAGGTAAAAGCACACATAAGCAAGTTATCTCACATTTCTTGTGCACCTGCAGACACCCACAGCTTTACAAAAATGTGTAACTGTCATGTTCAAAGAGTTCCACCTAGCAACAAATATTGGACAGAATTACTTCAAGTATAATACAGATAAAAAGTAATAAAAGGTCTTTAAGTGTCAGAACCATAGACTGTTTTCCTTCTGCATAGATACTTAATTTGTTATCTCTCCATAAGCGTCATCTGCTTATAGCCTATTGTAGAGTTAGTATTAATGTGCCTTAAGGAAGACAGCTTTTGATTACAACGTGAGCATATGCAATGAGACACCTTAAATTTCCTATTTATTTTTAATGTATTTCTTAAGTATTAGTAGTAAATATTACTCTAAAATATTAAAATAGTATCATTTCCTAAATAAAGTGAAGGAGAACTGGTGACACAAAATACCTATTTATAACACTCTGATAACCAGGAAGGAGTTCTCAGAGTTCAAAAGGTAATTTCAGTTTCACATGCATTAATAGTCTGTAATATACACACACACAAGATCATAGCACAGAAGATATTCCTAGAAGTTAGCAAGTGCTGAGAACCTTGAGCACTAGAAGGAAACCCAGGTGTTACTTTGCAATGTTTTCAGTTATCAAAAGGGAGGAAGGATTCCTTCCCAAGCACACTCCATCACTTACCTTACAAGTCAAACTGTAACTGTAACTCCACTTTAAACAGAGAGAATCCAGTACCTTTCCATGCAATCCAAGAGGTGTACCATTTCTGCTCTTCCAGAAAAATGAAGACAAATATTATATTACTCCTCTGCCTAGCTACATGATTTATTTGAACTAGATAATAATGTAGGATATCTCAGGCAGTGATTTTCCAAGGCATGTGTTACATGAGTCATCTGGCTTTAAAAAAAAGCCACATCCTTTGCAATGAGAGCTGGCTGTAAAATAGTTCCGTGTGCAACAAAGCATGCTGCTGGCTTATGCTTGCCAAAAAAGCCCCAGATGATAATTAATGTTAAGAGAACCTCATGGATATCTGAAAGAAAAGCAGAAAGTCTTACCTTCACAGGAAAGCTGCACTTGCCAGTACGAACGCCTTCTTCATCCGTCTGCCACTGGTGAGGCCTACTGGCCTCTGGGACATAGACATCTTTCTTTCTCCTAAAGCTTTGCCGTAATTTGTTCATTTCTCAGATTTTCACGTCCTAGAAGAAGAAGAAAAAAATATTGCCAATAGGCACCAGAACACACATTTAGCCACCTTGGGTCAACCACTATCATAAGAGATGTCGCTGGGAAAAAAATCTGAGCTTCTGTAAATAACATTGGCAGTACCTGTGAAAGGAAAAGATTTTGGACATAGATTAAGAGAAAGACAGATGCTCCCTTTAAAGTGGAAAACATAAATCCACTTTACTTGTTTAATATCTTTCCAAAGCAACTGAAGCATTAAACCCAGGAACAACTCATAAGGTTACCTGAAATAAGTGACAGTGAAACTCTTCAGAGTGATGCGCATTAAATCCTGACCCCCAAATTGAAGCACCTACCTAGAGTAACCAGGCAGGATACAAGTTGCACAAGCTTCCAGGGCACTCATGCAAAGCAAGGATTCATAGCCCTAAAACTGCACCTTAAAATTAGGTTCTTGTGCTGTTATTTAAAAACAAGTGGTAAGTTCTTGCTTTTATTGAGGGGCACAGTCCAGCCCTTACTTAGCCTACTGGTAAAAGTTATTATCTATTTACATGAGTAAGGCACTGAATTGACTTCTACGTCCTGGCTAAATCTCTAAACAATGACATAGTCTTCCCTTTTCAAAGGGAGAAGACAGTTTTGTAATTACACTTCCAAGGCCTAGAATTAGATGCTTTCTATACACTGTTCTCTTATATACCAGTTTCTATATACAAGCCAATCTATACTTTAGACATGCTCACCTTTATTAGGTTCAAACTACAATTAGCCAAGAAGCTATCAGAGAAAATAGGACTGAATATTCAGCTACAGAAGTAAAACCATATGGAATACAATATGGGGACTATAGAAAACCAAGAACCATTGAATGTGTCAGGTTGGAGGGGGCCTTTAAAGATCATCCAGTCCACCCCCTCTTCAGTGTGCAGGGAGGGTGATCACCAGATCAATTTGCTCAGAACCTCATCAAGCCTGACCTTGAATGTCTCCAGGGATAGGGCCTCCACCACATCTCTGGGCAACCTTTTCCAGTGCTCCACCATGCTGATAGTAAAGAGCTTGTTCCCAACAACAATCTAAACCTACCCTGATCTAGTTGAAGGTCATTACCTCTCATCCTATTGCTACATATAAACATTATAAACAGCTTTCCTATAGGCTCTCTTTATGTACTGGAAGGTCACTATAAGGTCTCCAAAGCTGGAAGGCTTTCGGGAAAGAAGAGCACTATCTGAAGAAAAGGAACTTTCTTATATCCATGATGTCTCATCTGGATTTAAAAAAATAAAAAATAAATTTAAAAAAATGCTGCAGAATGCAGGGCAACAAAATCTAACTGGATTAAATATGCTTATTTCCCATTACATTAACTAAGCTACAAAATATGGATGTTTATGGGTGTCAAGAGACAGCCTTTGAATGAAAGCAGCTTTAAGAGCAATTTGAACACTATTTTAAACCATGAAAAGAACTAGTGTTCTCCAGTTACAATTATTTGACATAGGTGAGAAAAATCAACACATTGATATTTGTGGTAGCTGACATTTACAAAGCTAAAATTCAAAATGCAACAATTTCAAAGCTGAACAAAAGTCAGAAATCTTATTCTTACAGAAAATCACTGCCCGCTACTACTTCTGGTCAGCCTAATTAAAAATATTCACTTGGTGTGCATCTCATGATGCACTTTAGCCATTCCCAGTAACAAAAAGGTGAGTTTTGTCACTGACTCCCCAAAACCTCCTTCAGCAAGAGTTATTTTCCTCCTCAAACTGTAATTCATTAGGCAAGTCAGCTCCCACTGTATCTTACTAGCATGGCATTGGCTCATTTCTCTAGAATCTTCTTTCTATGATCAGTAATATTTTAAAGATATACCCACAGACCAAAAATACACCACTATGTCACTAATACTGGGAAATGTAAGTGTGGTGATGTTAATACTTGTTGAAATGCAAATAAGCACGTAACAACTGAATGCAATGCTGTCTGGTCTTGGAGCCTTGCAGGACCTTCTTTCAGCATAAGGGATAATTCCTGAAGTGTTTCTTCTTAAACAAACAACCAGACCAACCTCCACTTTTACAGCAAACACCTGTGCTTAAAGCTGCTTGATGAGTGTTTGAAAGCAATAAGGTGTGGCACTCCAATCAGTTCAAATCTGTCTTGCAAATTAAGTGAGGGGTTGAGATGTATGGCAAAGGCTAGCTGACTGTCCCTGGGAAGGTGCATGAGCCTAGAATAGCCATGAGCTCTAACAAACAGTGTAAGAGCAGGGATAAGAAGTTGCTTGGGGATTCTCCATCAAAATTACCTAGTTATAAAGTACTGTAAGCTTCATTCCTTCATAGATGCAAAATGCCTGACGTAACTAGAAACATATTTTCTTGACTTTACCAGATAGAATGGAGATTAGAACATACGTGCAAAATAAAAAACATGCACATTTCTTACCACTAAACATCTGAAGCAGCCCCACTACAAATGTGGTTTCTTTCTTTCTTTTTTTTTTTTTTTTTTTTTTTTTTTTTTTACAAGCTTAAAGCCATTTAAAAATATCTGAATGTGCAATGGCAACTCTGGAAGTTTTAGGAGGATGTGCAAGCCTTCTATTATCCATTAAGGCTTAAAGGCACATTAGTGCAGTAGTAGTAATGTATTTTGTTTTACAAAGTGCAGACAGGAGTCTGTGCATCACTCAGTTTAAAGACACCATAATTTCAAGGGGGCCTTTCATTCACCATGAGCAGGTGACACGTACTGCAGCAAATCAACACAAGGCACATCAGCTCTTGAGGACAGACACCCAACTCTTGTCCCCGCTTAAGACTGGCAGTGCCTCAGCACAATGAGCAAAACCAGCAGCTGCTCCAGCTGCTTTGGTGCAAAACTCAGGAGTCTGGTCAGCACACAGATGAAGCCCAGCTGTCTGATCTTGCACTCTGGTGATGAAGAAGCAGGCATAGATACTCTATTCTGCCAAAAAGGGCAACAGACTCTTACACTGATACAGGTAGCTGCAGCAAGGCTCACCTGCCAGTGTTCAAAGAACGGCCAAGTAAAAAATGCTTTGTAGAAATTTCAAACCTACAAACATGTAAAAACAACTGGTGGAAAAGGTTTCAAGGTAAATCTGAATCTCAAAAGCGTCAGTAAACAACAAAACAAGAACTGAGAACAGCACACAGCTGCTGCATTGCTTGTGAAATCAGACTAATTGCCTTATCGTAACATTTGCTTATGTGAACATTTCCTTGGACTTTTCCCAGGAAGCATTGCTTTTGCCCATGAGACTGGTACCTTATCAGAGATTTCTTCTGACCACGAGTCTCAATCCACAGGGGAGGATGAGAATAAGAGCTCCTCAACTACACTTCCTACGAGAAGCTGCACTGGCTTGAGAAGCTGAAATGGCATTTTGCCCAGAAGTATTTCCTCTTCACCAAAAACCAAGCCCATTTTCCTCTATGTTCTAATTTTGAGGTCATGTTGACAACAAGTGGTTTAAAAATAGCTTATTCTATTTAATAGAAATGCTGACAAATAGCAAGATTAATTTCTGGTCAGGCAACCAAAGAGTTTTCTTCAATTGCCACACTTGGGATTTTCTGAGATGCTATACAGTTTGGAGTAGGTTGCAAAACAGTTTGCTCTAGAAACATCTAATGTACTGTTAATATGCATGTCAGCCCAGTATAACTAGAATTGCCATCTGATGGAAAAGCATTCAGTAAAAATTCACACAGGCTGCATGTTTGAGGATTCAGGAGAGAAGCACGTGAATTGCTGCAATTAAGTGCTGAAATTTCTACTAATTTTATATGGAGCTCAAAGTCCCTGCACAGGAACGCTAGAATAAAACAAGTGAGCATTTTCTACTTGAATTCTTTGCAGCGCATTTAATATTTCCATGCAAGCATAACACACCTGCTGACACGAGAGACACCAACCTAGGCTGCTAGAAGCTAGCAGAGCATTCTCTACTAAACTGACAGCATTTTCAATAAAAAAAAGCTGTATACTCTGTCTTGGGATTATGTAGGCTGAAAGTTACATGCCCCGATTCCTTTATGTTTAGCAATTTGCTTTTGTCCTGTAATTAAAAGTATTTTTAAAACACCCAAGAAGAAACAAACCAAACCACCAAATACACTATTTCCTTTTTCCCCACTATTTCCATGGGTTTACAACCCCAAGTCCAGTTTGGGCCCAAGGAGAGGATAATGGAGAACCAGTATTTGAAGATAAACTTGGTGAAAAGCCAAGATAGGAAACTCAAAATCGAATTAAAGCACAAAATGTCATGTTTTATCAGACACTAACTGGTAACAAAGGCTGACAGCACCAAGATCTTCTCGAGAAAAGAGGAAACCCAGCCACTTTGGGTTCTGTCACATTTCAAGGTTATCTATACCAGAAGGCTAATCGCAGACAGCTGGACATCCGAATATTCATGCCAAGAAAACAGAACAACAAAAAAAAACAGACCAAAAAAACCCACCAACCAAAAAACAAAACAAAACCAAGAAAACCTTCAACACTTTTGCAATCCAAGAGATTACAACACTAGACTAAACACTAGACAAGTTCCCAAAACACCATGCAAACATCTACAAAAGGCGTTGAAAAGACAAATTCTTAACATAGAGAGTTTATAATTTTTTTTAAATGAAAATTTCTATATTATTATTATTATTTTGAAAACACAGCTCCAAAACCAATTTAAGGAGCATTTTGGCAGCCGTATCAGTTCTCTGACAACTCAAGGGCAGCACAGAGACACAGAAAACATTATCAGGGAGAAAAGCACATGTTGAAGCACTCTTGGCTCCACTGCCTTGCACATCATCAGGTTATGGCTGCAGAACAAACTACTGCAAAGTAAGCTAGCATGTTACTTCATGTCTTGTTAGCCACTCTGCTGTATGAACGTATTCACTTTTACCCTTCAGCGACCACAAACCAGCAGTTTATCCTTCAGTGAGAGATGGGTAAGCTCTCACATTAGCT